CCAACCTAAATGATTCTATGATTCTATATTGTCTGAATATGGGCAAGAAAGAAATTCTTCTAACACCTGATACACTCTATCTCCATGTTCTTTGGGGGAAAGGGGCCTTGGGTTCCCATCTCATTGATGGTTTAAGCCTCATCATGTGAACAAGGCTCCTGCAGCTCATCCCGCCCCTCCTGGCTGTGACTGTGGTGCTCTGCAGGGAGGGAAGAGGCACCCAGAGATGATCAGGGTATGCCACGGGGAGCAATGCTGACACCCACCTGGCAGAAAACCCCACCCTGCAGCCCCGGTGGCAGCTGGGGACAGGAATGGGCAGAGAGACCTTGTGTGAGGTGGTCCTGCTCTGAACTATGAGACAGAAACATCTCACGGTTGTCAGCAGGCAGAGCCCCTTCCCCATGGCTGTCTATGGACAGGGGATGTCCAGGGCTGGTGTCTCATTCCCCTGGGAACCCAGCATGGCACCTTCCCGTGTCTGGGTAGCTCCTCTCTCCCCTTCAGAGCATGTCTTCTGCTTCCCTGTGAGCCCAAAGGACAACGTGAGACACGGCAGGTACAATATAACTACATGTCACCTACCTGCAATGTCCTGATTTCATCCTAAATTCTCTCAAGACACAATGTGACCATTGACTGGCACAGGAGTGAAAACAGATAGGCATAAGCACTGGACCGGTGTGTAAACTTGTCATTGAGGAAGAAATTACTTAAAAAGGAGGGATTTAATGACTAGCAAGCGTGGACCAAGAAATATAATCCTCTGAATGGCTTCATGGCTGCTGGCGAGCAGCAGACGTGTTGTACAGCGATGCCATCTGCTGCCTCCAGCCACCGGCAAACTGAAACCTGGGAGCCCGCTCTGCAAACAGCCGCAGCGGGTTCAGGGATGGAGAGGCATGCTGCTCATTATGCTTTATCTTCCAAAACCTGGACTTTATTGCCACAGATGAACTGATTAGCAAGCTAAGAATGAAATTAAGTGCTTTTATGGTGGTACCTCTGCACTGATAATTTAAACCACTGTGATGATTTAACGCTTGATCTTCCCTGATGGGGAAGGAGATTCCCTGATCTGTCACGTGGACTCTGCATCCATGAAGTTTCAGCCGAGGGAATGGCTGGGATTGTCAGGAGCCACCTTGCAGGTAGGGCAGGTCATTGCTGA